AGTGATCGAGTCACCATCAGAAAGAACTTTATTGGACCCTCCATCTTTCCCATATTCTTCGCCAAAAAATGTAAATTTTTCGTCACCTTACATTCACACCCTGTATAACGAGAAGAAATTTTTTAAAAAAATGTACGACGACACTGACGTATAGACCAAAGATGGCGCTTTGTAACACTGCCTGAAAATCCAAGATCGGCAATGAAATGTCGAAGTTATTGCAAGTCAAAATTAGGCAATTTTTCGGGTGTCCCACTTCATCTGCCGCTTAGTTTATTTGAATTTAAAATGCATATTTGTGATTGCTTTAAAATGACAGGAGGGAAATAATCAAATGAAAACCCCCCATCACAAGAACATGCTCTTTTTTTTTGTGACCCCATTTCCACTATTTTTATTTTTGAGATCGCTCTGGAATTCTAAAAGTTGTGATATCTCCAACTAATGATTTAAACTTATACTGGTTTTTGAGATATGGATGTTTGAAATTTGACCTTTTTGGCAGAATGATCTTATACTAGAAAAAAAATCACACCTCATGCCTCATGGTTAAACAAATGTTATTTGACGAGAGGTAACAGAAAGGGGGGAGAAGAGGTAAATAAACACACTTTTTGTTTTTGGGATGGCACATATCAAATCGTATAATTAAAAATATTCTTTACAGCTTTATACAAAATTTGCAGAAAACTTTTTTTATACGACTACTATTTGTATCGGCTCTTCAAAAAAAAAAACAATCAAAGATTGCTTTGATTACGAAAACGTATGTCGCATTATTGTTTTTTTATTGGTCAGGATTTTTGACATGACATTTGAAATTAAAGTTCATTGACAAAATTGAAGAAAAATATTGCTAAGACATACGTTTAAAAACCATAGCAATCTTTGATTGTTTTTTTTTTTTTTTGAAGACTCGATATGTAGGTATAATCCTACTACCCCTAAAAACCACCCTTATCTAAAAACCCTATGGAAGTACAAGGTCGCAAACTTAATATGTTATTTAGCATATTAAAATAGACCGATCGCCCCCAAAAAATGTTAACTTCTAATTATGTTGAGGTAAACCCTCTTTTCAGATCCCCGTTTCTTGGATTAAAAGATCCTATTTGATATTCGCAGCGAACATGTTAAGTGGCGAGATATCTACCTAAATCCGTTTCTTTATTTTCTCGAAATATTTTTAGGCAGCCAAATTTCCAAAGGACTTGTAACTTCTTTCCTCCTCACCTAGTACCTGCTTCTTAAGTCTCTATAGAGTAGGTAGCTTCTAGAAGCATCAAATTGTTATGCAGCACAACGGTGATAAGTTTAATTGCATTAAAGCAGCATCTTCGTCGTTAATTTTTCAGCAGTTTCTTGCCTTCTTTGATTCCTGGCGTTTAAAAAAACATACCTAGATTACGGTAGGTATCATGATACCTTCAACCATAAGCAACACTTTTTTGGATCATGATATATAGTTGCAGAAATATTGTACTTGAACCAGTCTTAGGTGGCTATCGCAATGTTACGTCATATCATGCAATTTTTTTTATGCCATTAACGCGTGTCCTAAATTGGTAGGTACCTACCTTATTGGTGGAATGTGATGTGACAATTTTTAAATCGATTAACTAAACTGCTGGACAATTGCTTTCGAACAAGGTAAATATCGCCTAGTTTTCAAGCTCGATATTTTTGGAACCAGACTAGATATCGACCTGCGGTTTTCACGGGCTGACAGATTGACTTTTTGTGAAAAAAATTGCTATTTTGAATTTTTTTTAAATGTCTACTTTTTTTTTATACAGGGTGTTAAAAGAGTCCATGATTTTCATCCCAATTTTGAATGTGTGTAACTTTCTCAGATAATTTTTTAAATTTTATTTCTATGCGGCGTTTTAATCAATGATCTTCTGCAAAAAAAGTAATTTCTCAAATTTTTTATACCTGCCTTAGTTTTAAAAATATCGACTTTTTTTCATAACCTCCACTTTTTTCAACTTTTAAGCACCTAAACCATCCTGTACAATAAATCTTGCATCTTATGCTGCTGTTTGATATACCCCACGATATCCTGGTTTATTTTCAATGAAAAAAAAAAACTTAAATAATGTGGTGTCCAGTAGCGTACTAATAATCGCTCATTTTCGGAATAATTTAATAATGGCTCACCGATTTTTACATTCAAAGGTGCATAATTTTAAAATAATCATCTGAATTTTCATTTGTTTAGTTCACTTTAATCATTGACATATTATTAAGAAACCAATTTCTCAAAATTTTGATATTTGCCTTTGGTTTTAAAATATCGTTTATTTAACATAGCCATATTAATTTTTTCGATTTTTCCGTTCTAAACCATCCTGAATCGTTCTTACCGGTGAATTTTTTAGCAACTGTTATACCTTTCAGCCAGCATATTTACTATGATTAAAAATATCGAATACCTCAATGATATGCTGTACAGTGGCGTGCAAAGAGAAATTATTATTTTTCATTAAATCAATTTTTTTAGCAATTGTTATATCTTTCGATTAGCGTATTTTTATGATTAAAAATTTCGAATATCTCAATGATATGCTATACAGTGGCGTGCTAATAATTATTTATACCACTGATAAAATTTAAATATTCGGAACCGATTTCGTTGTGGTGAGAGGAAACCCGAATTTTTATTACCTACTAATTTTCTTTGTAGCTTCATGTTTAAAGGTATTTCAATTAAAAATTCTTCCACTAATGGTAGTAGTATCACAAAATAAAGTTAAGGATGGTAAATTACATTATCTGCCAAACAAAAAATTATATGAACAACGTTAATGCTTCTTTAAGTTAATTCAAAACAAAACACAAAAAGTGTTCCTATAGGTTTTTTACGTTATGTTAAGGATGACGTCGTAGAACAAGGACTGACAATGTTGTCAATGCCTATTTTTTCCTTATAATTTACCAGAATGTAATAAAAAATTATCAAGACCACTGACAGCTAGAAATAACAAAATGAATCGACACGTGTTATTTATTTGAAAATGTTTATTCAAATCATACAACGTCGCGCGCCGTTGTCAACCGGTAACATCTGAAATTCCCCTACTTTAAATGCGTTAAGAAGTACCTTCAGTTTAGTTAGGTAGATACCTAGGTAAAACGAATCAAAATAAGTGAACTAAAAAACTAATCAAAGTAAGATTCAATAACAACAACAAAGTGACCTTGAAGTTAAGTAATAAACTACGTAAACTAAAAAAATTTATATATTTCAGATGTTACCGGTTGACAACGGCGCGCGACGTTGTATGATTTGAATAAACATTTTCAAATAAATAACACGTGTCGATTCATTTCGTTATTTCTAGCTGTCAGTGGTCCTGATAATTTATTATTACATTCTGGCAAATTATAAGGAAAAAAAAGGCATTGACAACATTGTCAGTCCTTGTTCTACGACGTTATCCTAAATATAACGTAAAAAACCTATAGGAACACTTTTTGTGTTTTGTTTTAAATCAACTTAAATAAGCATTAACGTTGTTCATATAATTTTTTGTTTGGCAGATAATGTAATTTACCATCCTTAACTTTATTTTTTGATACTGCTACGATTAGTGGAAGAATTTAATTGAAATACCTTTGAACATGAAGCTACAAAGAAAATTAGCAGGTAATAAAAGTTCGGGTTTCCTCTCACCACAACGAAATCGGTTCCGAATATTTAAATTTTATCAGTGGTACCTATAAATAATTATTAGCACGCCACTGTACAGCATATCATTGAGGTATTCGAAATTTTTAATCATAAAAATAAGCTAATCGAAAGATATAACAATTGCTAATAAAATTGATTTATGAAAAATAATAATTTCTGTTTGCACGCCACTGTACAGCATATCATTGAGGTATTCGATATTTTTAATCACAGTAAATGCGCTGGCTGAAAGGTATGACAATTGCTAAAAAAATTCACCGGTAAGAACGATTCGGGATGGTTTAGAACGGAAAAGTTGAGAAAATTAATATGGTTATGTTAAATAAACGATATTTTAAAAACAAAGACAAATATCAAAATTTTGAGAAATTGGTTTCTTAATAATATGTCAATGATTAACGTGAACTAAACAAATGAAACTTCAAATGATTATTTTTAAAATTATGCACCTTTGAATGTAAAATTCGTTGAACCATTAATAAATAATTCCGAAAATGGGCGATTATTAGTACGCTACTGGACAACACATTATTTTAGTTTTTTTTTTTTCATTGAAAATAAACCAGGATATCGTGGGGTATATCAAACAGCAGCATAAGATGCAAGATTTATTCTACAGGATGGTTCAGGTGCTTAAAAGTTGAAAAAAGTGGATGTTATGAAAAAAATTCGATATTTTTAAAACTAAGGCAGATATAAAAAATTTGAGAAATTACTTTTTTCGCAGAAGATCATTGATTAAAACGCCGCATAGAAATAAAATTTAAAAAATTATCTGAGAAAGTTACACACATTCAAAATTGGGATGAAAATCATGGACTCTTTTAACACCCTGTATAAAAAAAAATTAGACATTTAAAAAAAATTCTAAATAGCAATTTTTTTCACAAAAAGTCAGTCTGTCAGCCCGTGAAAACCGCAGGACGATATCTATTCTGGTTCCAAAAATATCGATCTTGAAAGTTAGGCGATATTTACCTTGTTCGAAAGCAATTGTCCAGCAGTTTATGAAGAGTCTATATAGGATATGAGGATTATTTTTTATGACGTTTATAAGGATGGCGTTATTGCGATAACGTTGGACAGGACATAGGTACCTATATCGCTAAAGGCACACGCTAGCATACTCATTGGGAATGCATAATTTTTTTTTTTTTATAATCTGCTCACTACTGCAATTTGCTTACGAATTATGAATTTTTAAATTACTCGAGATAGAGTATGGAGTGGTTTAGGAACTTTTCCTAGCTAGTTGTATTAAATTGTTTAAGTTTTATACTCATTTGCTTATTTTTATACTTTCTAGCAATCAATGGCACTAGATTTTCCATTGTGTCATGCAAATTCAGCATAGAAAAAGCCAAAGAAAAATTAGAAATGTATTACACTATTAGGCGACTCATGCCCGAGGTGTTTGCGACGCATCCTCTTTCGCCTGAGATTTTAAAACATTCCAAGGTTATGTAAGTATTAAATGAACAAAAAAAAAATGTGAAAATATCTGTCAGTACCTTAAAAGCTATTCGACTATTAGATGAAAGTATCGCTGGACATGGTCAACATCATCTTTCGCAAATTTTCAAGTGTATTTCACGAAATATATACATTATTTCTTGAAAGGAATGAAGTTTTGTCGGTTACAACAACCGAAAAGCATAGAAATTGAAAATGAAGAGAAAATTAAGGAAAATTGGAGGATTAAATTTTTTTGACTTGGGCGGGATTCGAACACGCGTCCTCAGCATTGCGAGTGCACCCAGGGCCAAAATTTTTAATCCTCCAATTTTCCTTTTTGATTTTTTGTTTGAATGCTCAATATCGCTTTCGTTCGATAATCTTGAGTGTCAGTGTCAAACTTTCAAAGCAATAAGGTGCATATTTTCTAGCATCCCGATCATTAACAGCGTTTAACGCCCTCGATGTTTGAGTAAGAGCTTTCAACTTCGGGCCGTCATTTACATGCTGCGGGCGTTAAGCGCCTAGTCTGGGACCTATTTTACGATTATGTGTTTTCGTTCTAGCTATTGTATTCCATTACCAAAAATCACAAACAGCGTCCACCGAGTAATTTACGTGCAGGTCAATCCAGAATACGGATCTGAACATTTCAGTAGTCATCTATTTTTTGTACAGTTGACTCACGTTATAGAAGTGTGTCTTCAAGAAGATAGTTGCTACAATTTTGAAATGGTCCTTGACTTCATAGGAGCTAAATTGTCACATGCGCAAAAAATAAGCCCCATGGTTCTAAAGAAAATGGCAATTGTTTTGGAAGTAAAACAACTATATCGCAGTTTTTCAATGACGTTTAAAAACCCTAATTTTTAGAAAGTATATGCCAACAGAAATGCAGCAATCTATTTGGTTAATATGCATTCTTTTGTGGAAAATGTCCTCAATAATGTATGTAAACCATTACTCCCCAAGAAAATAAGTGAGAGGGTAGGTAAATCAAATTTGGAATTATCATGGCATGACTTAATTTTATCGTAGATGAAAGCCTTGTCAAATATTGAAGATCTTCAAAACTTCATCAGCAAGTCCATTTTGCCTAAAGATGTTGGAGGTGAAGAGCATTCTTTGGCAGAATTACAAGGTTAAATAATTGGATGCAATACATTTCAGGAACTTATTTTAATTCTAATAATATTTTCAGTTATGATGACTAAAAAATTTCAAGAATTTAAGCCAAGGTTTGATAAAATCCAATTTATGACCGTTGATGAATCAAAGAGGCCAGAAAAGCTAATAAACGACGATATTTTGGGATTTTACGGCAGCTTCCGTCAAATAAATGTTGATTGAGTTTTATATATTACTTAAATAGAAAAACTTTTTTATAGGTTTTCCTAATATAAGTTATAAGCAAATATGGGCCGCATAATGAATTATTCAATATACTTGTATTTATAAAAAATTGATACACCTAGTTCGATTCTGAGTTTCATTTTCTTCTCGCTTTCTATATCATTCTCATCTATCTTCAAATGACACGTTAATATTTCTGTCAAGGAAGTAAACAACATACCCCTTGGGCCGACCATTTTTTGAAAAAATTATTGATCGTCAGCCTTTGCTCGTGCTGTCCAAATTTCAAATACCGTAACGCTATTTAACAAGTATGACAGTTCTTACGATATTAGCATTAGCGAAGCACGCTATCTAACGGGACTTGGCGGATGCCTTACCGTAACGCTATGCGGTGTCAAAATAAGTTAACGCTCCATTTATGTGTGCAAAAACAGCAATTTCTAATAATTCCTCCATAAAAAACACCAAGGGAAAATTAATCAAACTCAGGAATCTTCAGGATAAATAACAGTTAGAAAATAAGCAGAAAAAAGTTGGGTTAGATCACTCAACTCAGCTGTCAAAATGTAAACAGAATACCTAAGAGATTAGAGGATTTTTGTGTCTTCGTGTCCGCACAGAAAAAAATGCTAGTTTACATTTAAGTATAAAGTTAATCTTGAAAAAATATTCTTGAACTAATTATTATGCTATTTGATTTAAAAGATTGCTTTTTGAAAGAAGAACGTATTACTTTTAATTTAAGAAAACGCATATTAGTGGAGTTCAAAAATGATTTTATCGTGTCATTCCGTCGGAACTCTATTGCTAAAATGTAAAACCTATCTTATATCGTTCCTTACGCCTTAAGAAAGCAAAATCGATTGGTCGTCAAAAAATCGTGGGGTGCAGGGGGGTAGTTTGGGGTAGTTTTCCAAAAAATTGCAAATTTTTTTTTTTCATTTTTCGAATCTACACTACGTGTTCAATAATCTGCAAAAGTCTTATTTCAAAATTCCAAGTAGAAGTATTTTATTTCGAATTTTGAAATGTTTGTACAACACGCATTTATATGGAGTACCTTAATATAAAACAGCTCGCACTGAAACATCAAAATTGCAACATCATTCACCCATAGATAACTCAAAAATGCTTATTCTAATCAAAAAACACTTTTTATAAACGCTGTAGATCAAAGATCAGGGATTCAAATGCTTTTTTATAATCAAAAATCCGATAAGTCGTTTTGTCAAAAACCTGTAAAATGTGAAAGCATGTCGTGGCGACCGCGTTCGGACGCAGAGATGCGAGGATGGTTGAAATTCCCTTGGCATGCGATTGATTCTATGTGGTGCACGGTCCGTATTAGATATCTACCGTTTATGACTTTTTGGTGTAAACTAGTGACTGCATACAACTTGTATTTAACTTAATTCGTAGCTCCAATAATAACGGAGTTAGTAGGTAATTAATAACTTTTGTAATAGTGCTGAATTAATTCGGGGTACCCTATATTGTCTCTTTTTTTGTAAGAAGGTATACTTACATACTATATTTTGTGAGTAGGTATTTCTATTATACAGCTGAAAATATCAAATATCAGCTGTGCGTTTTTTTGTCAAAAAAACTTGTTCGAATCTCATCAAAAATCCCGACAGAAATTCATTGGATGTACGAAGGTCCGTATGAACATTAGTCAAGGCAACGACACTGTATTAGATCAAAAACACTTCACAGATAGTGGAGAAAATTCGGATTCTTATTGAATGATGTAAGATAGTTTAATAACAATGTTAATAAATTCTTATTAAATATTTATCTCTTTATTAGAGAGATATTGCAAATCAGCCCTAATAAGGCTATAATCTTATTTAGACGCGATAGGTTATTTCCTTACTTCGAATGATAAGTTTAGATATTGCAAATTTCCAGAAATGACTGGGAGCTGATGCCTCATTTCTAACCTGAAAATCTTGAATTTTTGTAAATGTTTTGGGGTGTCCATTTGTACTGCATTTCTTGCTTCAAGCAGATCTCAGCAGGAGATCGGCTTTAACTTGTGCCATATAATAAGCTCATAAATAGCAGTTCCTAGCAGATCTTCCTGATTATTTGAGCAGGTAGAGCAAGTAAAAATGAACACTCCAATTTTTTAAGTTTCGAACCTGAAGTGTTTTCTTTCTGTGAAATGTATATGCTTAGATATTTTGAAAATAAGAAATTATTTGTTCAAAATATTTGAATAGTACGTGTAAAATCGTAGAACAGTGGAAGGAATATGACATAAATTCTCTACGAAACCCTCGGCAAAACCAGTTCATCGTTATAGGTAAAGTCTGTTTATTTTTGAAAGATAATTCCCCAAGTCAAAAATTTAGTAACTATGTTGGCAAGACAAGCCTTTTCTACATAAAAAATTTGGAAGCATTGACAATTTTACATTGTATTGTCGAATGTAATACCACAAGAGGTTTCAGGATTACCGGATAATACTTTTACCTGTCACGCAACGCGTTACGCAGCAGTTGCTGGTAACGCGTTGATTGTCAGGTAAAAGTATTAGGTAATCCTGAAACATCGAGTGGTATTCAAAAGGTTATACAACGAACTAAACTTTAATACTTTAAAATTTAAAAAAAATGTCTATAATAGAATTTGCCATAAATGCCACCAAGCGCGATAATCCCAAAAGGCTTATCACTTATTAAGCCTCTCGTGTCATATGGGAATACTGTACAGTGACTTGTATAACCAACCTAATATCATTTTGACTTTTATCTTTAAAATAAAAACAGACTTTACGTTAACCTCAGTCTGTCTCTTTTCTGTCCTCGATGCTGTTCTGATTTTGCTCCAATTCTCAAAGTATGAAAAAAAAATCAAGAAAAGTCAAAAGGATAACGCACACTTAACATGGGATTTCTGGGCTCTATGGATTTTGCCCATTTTTTGATATGTTGTAGAGGATTTAATTCTGAACAACCTTTAAACGGGACGAAATCTTGTAGGTATTACGGTCTTTGAGATATGAGCCTTGAAAGATGAAATTTTTTGCAAGTTTTTGTGTGGAGAGTATACGAAAAACTGGTGTTTATCAGTCAAAATTTTGACAGGTCGACATATTTTACGTCACTAACAAATGTCAACATAGGCTAAGGCCGGGACCGCACTGGCGCCAACATTGACCCCAGTGCGGTCCCGGCCTTAAATTGATTGACATCAATTTTAAAGTGACGTAAAATATGTGAACCTGTCAATATTTTGTCTGATAAACACCAGTAGCACCAGTATTTCGTATACTCTTCACACAAAAAGTCGCAAAAAAGTTCATCTTTCAACGCTCATATCTCAAAGACCGTAATACATACAAGATTTCGTCCGATTTAAAGGTTGTTCAGAATTAAATCCTCTACGACATATCAAAAAATGGGCAAAATCCATAGAGCCCAAAAATCCCATGTTTGGTGTGCGTTCTCCTTTGTTGTCATGAATCCAATCTATGGTTATAAAACACATAACACAACAAAAAATTAGTTCACTATTGCTACCGATCATCGCCGATCAAGTATAGTCTGTTTTTTTTTAAAGATAAAAGTCAAAATGACATTATGTTGGCAATACAATGTAAAATTGTCAATGGTTTAAATTTTTTTATGTAGAAAAGGCTTGTGTTGCTAACATAGTTACTAAATTTTTGACTTGTGGAATTATCTTTAAAAAAAACATACTTTAAGAACTTTAAATAGGGCAAAGATAAAGCAGGTCCTATTTTCTCCCAAATAAGGCAGACTGCGCATGCGCAGCTGTCAAAATAAGGCTTGCCTTAAAAAGACAAGCACTTGCAATATCTCTCTATCTACACAAAAATAGAAGGTTCTATCATGGAACAGCGACCACAAGTACCCATAATAGGAAATAAGGTGCTATACTTGGCTATATCGTAACTTCAAATGCGTCAATAATATGTCTGATTATACAATTATTATCTACCTATTATCAAAAGCTCATTATAGTTATTTATGTATCAAGGGTACTAAGTAGATGATTATGCCCTGAGGGCGACAGCCTTACAATGCCGAGAGCCTCTGGCCGAAGGTTCGTAAGTCGCCCGAGGGTATATGTCTATTAGTACCCGTGGTGCATACAAACTTTTATGTCATACCAGGGGGGCTTTATTTGAAATCGATGCAACTATGCGTACACGCAAACGACGTCATTTGCGGCGTAATTGTCAACCTGATGTTTAGAATGGTACCATCGTCACCAAAAGTAACTGGGACAGCATCATATCAGCTCTTGTACTATTATATGAATTTTAGTGTCAAATATGTGTCAAACTATGTATTAAATGCATTGAAATGAATGACGGTTGAATTAGTCCAGGAGATTGATATGAATTATTTTTGTCCCAGATACTTTTGGTGACGATGGTACATTATGCCCGCGCGGGTCAGAATGTGTACTTTATGCCTGCACGGGCATAAAGTGATGAATTATGTAGATAGTATCTAAGGTATAAAAAGACAATAATGTACTGGTATGACATAAAATAAAGTATGTCCTACCTTTGGATTTTAACGCAAATTTTAGCATAAATGCTTTACCTAACTGGTCAATAAATTATGGACAAGTTTTTTGAAATGATCGTATTTTCTCATATAATATTATGTCTAACTGTTATTGATTTATTTAAATATTATACTCAAATACATAAACTAAAAGCCACTATATTCTTATAATGTATCTAAATCTGTATCTTGGAAAATTACGACGCTTTTTCACAGAAATAGTGCACTTTCCGCTGTTTCAGACGAGAAGCGACCATCTAGGCCTGAAAATACATACGGACCGTGCACCACACAGAATCAATCGCGTGCCAAGGGAATTTCAACCATCCTCGCATCTCCGCGTCCGGGCATGGTCGCCACGACATACTTTTACATTTTACAGATTTTTGACAAATCGACTTATCAGATTTTTTATTATAAAAAAGCATTTTAATCCCTGATCTTTGATCTACAGCGTTTATAGAAAGTGTTTTTTTGATTAGAATAAGAATTTTTGAGTTATCTATGTGTGAATGATGTTGCAATTTTGATGTTTCAGTGCGAGCTGTTTTATATTAAGGTACTCCATATAAATGCG